GAGGCTTTTCACGGATGTTTTATGTGTTATTGATTTTTTAATGTTTGCTCTGAGTCTGCAGAAGGTCCTGAACCGCAGCCTCCCAGTCCAGGTTTAGTCCAGGTTTAGTCCCAGTTTGAGGTCTTCTTGGGTTAATTAAAGCTTTGGCTGAACTGTCCCACTGAGTCTCCACCTGCTGCACTTCAGGCTGCCAAAATACAGAACCAAACCAGGACAAACCAGGACTAAACCAGGACTAAACCAGGACTAAACCAGGTCTAAACCAGGACTAAACCAGGACTAAACCAGGTCTAAACCAGGACTAAACCAGGCCTTTGTGGACTTTTCTGGTCTAAATGAAGGACTCAGATTCTGTGAGTTTCATTTTATTTTATTCAAGGTTTATTTACAGAAGCAGATCACATGACCACATCACGTGACGTCAGCTGACCCTCCTCAGGCCACGGCCACAGACACACGAACGGGACGAGGGTGACAGGTGACGAGGGTGACAGGTGACGAGGGTGACAGGTGACGAGGGTGACAGGTGACGAGGAGTAACGAGGGAGACAGGAGTGATGAGTGTGACAAGTCTGACAAGGGTGATGAGGAGTGTGACGAGGGTGACAGGTGTAACGAGTGACGGGTGTGACGAGGAGTGTGACGAGGATCGTGACAAGTGTGACAAGGAGCGTGACAAGTGTGAAGAGGGTGACGAGTGTGAGAAGGAGCGTGATGAGGGCAACAAGGAGTGTGACAAGGAGTGTGACGAGGAGTGTAACGGGGGTGACGGGAGTGACAGGTGTGACGAGTCTGACGAGGAGTATGACGAGTGTCACGAGAAGCGTGACAAGTGTGACGAGGAGTGTGACGAGTGTGACGAGGAGTGTGACGAGGAGTGTGATGAGTGTGACGAGGAGTGTGACGAGGGCGACAAGGAGTGTGACGAAGAGTGTGACGAGGGTGATGAGGAGTGTGACGAGGAGTGTAACGGGGTGACGGGTGTGACGAGTCTGACGAGGAGTATGACAAGTGTGACGAGAAGCGTGACAAGTGACAGGAGTGTGACGAGTGTGACGAGGAGTGTGACGAGGAGTGTGAGTGAGGAGTGTGACGAGGAGTGTGCGAGGCGACAAGGAGTGTGACGAGGAGTGTGACGAGGGCGACAAGGAGTGTGACGAGGAGTGTAACGGGGGTGACAAGGAGTGTGACGAGGAGTGTGACGAGGAGTGACGAGGAGTGTGACGAGGGCGACAAGGAGTGTGACGAGGAGTGTGACGAGGGCGACAAGGAGTGTGACGAGGAGTGTGACGAGGGCGACAAGGAGTGTGACGAGGAGTGTGACGAGGGCGACAAGGAGTGTGACGAGGAGTGTAACGGGGGTGACAGGTGTAACGAGTGACGGGTGTGACAGGTGTGACGAGTCTGACGAGGAGTATGACGAGTGTCACGAGAAGCGTGACAAGTGTGACGAGGAGTGTGACGAGGAGTGTGACGAGTGTTTCCTGTCTGGAGTGTGGTGGTGGTGGTGGCGGCGGCGGTTTGGATTTGTCTGTTTCTACAGTCTGGTCACATGACCTCTGACCCTCCTCAGGTCAGTTTCACATTTTCATGATTTATTTTCATTCAGTGTTTTTAAAGAGAAGGTCAAACCCTCACAAGAGACAAACCGGGTCTAAACCGGGTCTAAACCGGGTCTAAACCGGGTCTAAACCGAGTCTAAACCGGGTCTAAACCGGGTCTAAACCGGGTCTAAACCGGGTCTAAACCGGGTCTAAACCGGGTCTTGTGTTTTCCCTGTTTGTGGCTCTAAAACATTGGACAAAATCATAGAAAATCATTTCACATTTAAAGAGAAACAAATTGGTGCAAAATTCTGTCAAAATAAACAAAATGTACAAAAACTGTTCATATTTTCATTTGACACTTTCACAGTTTTACAGCAAAAGAATTTTAAATCCAACAAGATCTTTGCTCGAGTCCATGTGAGATCAGGTCACACTCAGGTCCTGCTGTTTCCTCTGGGGCCTAAAGGACTTCAGGTCTAAACCAGGACTGAACCAGGTCTAAACCAGGTCTAAACCAGATCCCAGAGCAAAGTGAGCGGAGACTCTTGAACCTCAAAAACTAAAACGTGTGAATCTGTTTTAGTGAATAAAACATCTTGAAAACGGTAAAAGTTTCGTGTTGATGTGAACGTTGGACCTCGACTTTAACGTAAAAATGTCTCGGTTTTGTGGCTTTCTCCATTTTGAACTTTTAGTCTGTCTCATTATTATCGTCCACGCTCTTCTCTCCAAGGTCTGTGAGTCCAAACGCGACTCCAGACCCGAGTCCAAACGTCCGAGTCCAAAAGTCCATCGTCGGTCCTCAGTTGTCGGTCGTCAGTCTTGGGGCAGCGTCTCAGTGACACAAACAGTGATTTTTTACATTCTGTGCAAAACTATTTTAACACATTTTCAGTAGATTTCACATATTTACAGCAGGTTCCAGACGCCGGGACCTTCAGCTCCACGAAAACCCAACTCCAGCTTGGACCAGACCACGGACGCCTCAGACCACAGAGACCTCAGGGACCAAACCAGGACTAAACCAGGTCCATGGGCATATACCATCATCGTTTACATGACGTTTTTGAGTTCAGAATTAATTGTTCTGAATTAATTTTTTTTTAAAAGTGAAAAGTGAGGACCTTCTGAACGCAGAAGGGAAGAGGAAGAACTCTAATCCGTGTCTCGTTCGTTCAGTCGTTTTTCAAAATAAAACCAAAAATAAGAAAATGAAAAAAAAAAACTATTTTCTTCATTATCTGTCTCCAAAACCAATATTTTTGTTTTATTTTGAAAAACTGATGAACAAACGACACTCGGGTTGAGCCTGGACGTCTGCAAACGAGATCTGTTTTTAACGTTTTTCAGGTAGAGACTTTTAAAAACCGTCAAACTGAGCCTGAAGTCTTTTGGTCTGGAGTTGGGTTTCCGTTTTTTTCCTACGGTTTTTAAAGGCATCGAGCAAAAACAGCGGGCACACAGTGAGAGTGCGGGAAAATACAAAAATAATCTGTGCACACGAACACAACACGCACCAAACACACACCAAACGCACCGAACGCAAACGCACTTCTGTGGCAAAGAAAGGACCAAAAGACAAGGCCAACGTGACACACAGGACCAGACTCAGGACCAGACTCATGACCAGACTCATGACCAGACTCAGGACCAGACTCAGGACCAGACTCAGAGACGGTCCGCCTTTTTCTGTGAGCCACAATGAGTCGACACCACAGGCTGATCCCATGACACCAGCACACAGAACCTTCTGAACTGAACCGGGTCTAAACCAGGACTAAACCAGGACTAAACCAGGTCTAAACCAGGACTAAACCTTTAGTTTCTTTCTCGTGACAGAAGAGTCTGAACTTTTTGTCAGTTTTTGTTTCATGTGGAGAGTTCCAGTAAATCCAGAGATCTGAACCATAAACCTGCACCTGTCACTCTGTCACCTGTCTCACCTGACGCTTCTTCAGTGTTCAGATGCTGGTGACACTTCCTCATATCTGTTGTTATTATTTGATCAATAAATATCTAGTTTGGTCCACGACTTAGTCCCAGTTTTTAATTTTGGCCTCTGTGAATTTGAGTTTGACTCTCCTGAAATAAACGTTTGTGCAGTTGACAAATTGAATTTCGCCTTTTGTCGTGGATTCTACAAGTCTGATTCATGAGCTGGTTTCACTTGGTGTAAACCGTGTGACCTCGCAGCATTAGGATTCGTTCACTTGACAGGAGGCGGGGACTTTTTTTATTTAACCAATCGCTGCTGTTTGGTCGTGACGTTTGTAATGCTCCAAATCATGTAGTTAGAAGAACAATAACGTCTTTCCCAGAGATAAAATTCACCAAACATTCTCTTTGTTCCGGTTTTAAATCCTCGGGGATCTGGGGAATCATTGCGACACACACACAGTTTGACAAAGTCGACCACACAACTCTTTTAAAATGTCTTGAAGAATGTGTGGGTGTCAGGGGGAAAGTCCTGGACTGGTTTAGGTCGTATCTCTCTGGATGGTCCTTCATTGTGAGGCTGGGGGACTCCACCTCATCGTCCGCCCCTCGTCTTAGTGGAGTCCCCCAGGGTTCAGTCTTGGGGCCTTTGCTTTTTGCACTTTACCTGCTCCCACTTGGAGATTTTTTTTAAAAAGACATGACTGCTCTTACCATTTTTATGCAGATGATGCCAGATTTATTTACCCATCGGAAAACAGAATCACTGGCCCTCCTGCTCGACTGTCGATCTGACGTCAAGGCTCAGTTGGCCTAAAACTTTTTAAAACTGAATGAAGCAGAGACTGAGGTGATGCTGTTTGGGACCAGCAGAACCCTCATGTGGGACACCTCAAAAATCTGTTTTAAAATCAAGTTTTTATCATTTGTGGCTTTTATCTGAAGTCAAACCATTTTTATCTTTTAAACTTTTTGAACAAGTCGTGCACACTTTTATTTCATCACGCCTGGACGACTGTAACGCACTTTATTCCAGCATCTCACAAAACGCACTTTACCGACGACAGTGAGTCCAAAACTCTGCAGCGCAACTTTTAACAGGAACAAAAAGAAAAGAGCACATGACCCCAATTCTCGTGTCTTTGCACTGACTTCCTGTTCATTTTAGAATAGATTTTAAGATTTAGTCGTTTGTTTTTAAAGCCTTGAATGTTCTGGCCCCACAGTGCGTCTCGGACCTCGTCCAAATTTATACTCCCACACACTCTGAGGTCTGAGGTCCAGCCCCAGCTCGTGGGGCCTGAGACGAGACTTAAAACCAGGGGGAGAGGATCTTCTCTGTGGTCGCCTTAAGCTCTGGAACAGTCTGGAACAGTCTGGAACGCTCTGGCTCTGGAACAGTCTGGAACGCTCTGGAACAGTCTGGAACGCTCTGGAACGCTCTGGAACGCTCTGGAACGCTCTGGAACGCTCTGGAACGCTCTGGAACGCTCTGGAACGCTCTGGAACTCTGAACGCTCTGGAACGCTCTGGAACGCTCTGGAACGCTCTGGAACGCTCTGGAACGCTCTGGAACGCTCTGGAACGCTCTGGAACAGTCTGGAACGCTCTGCCCCTCCACGTCCCAACAGCGCCCACTGTGGAGAGTTTTAAGTCTCGTCTTAAAACCCACTTTTATTCTCCGGTTTTTAACACCGCGTGAGTTGTGTGATCCTCTGTGTTTCTTATTTATTTTTTATGTATTTTTATTGGTTTTATTTATTGCTCTTCTAGGATTTTGCTCTTATTTTATTCGACTGGTTATTTTTATTGATAGTGACGAGCGAGTGGAGCCTCGTGAAGCATCGACACCTCAGTCACAATATCGTCTCAAATGGTTGGACGTGTCTGAGGCCTTGGAGAAACACTGACCTCTAGTGGACAAATTTAACCACTGGCACGATGCAGGTGTCTCAGCATCGATGAAGTATTGTTAGTGTAAGACAATAGTTGTGTGAAGAGCGACACCGAACTAACAACAACAATAATAATGATCATTTAAAATATGTAAAGAGCAACATAAAGAACATGCTGTAAATACGAAAGTAGGTGTTACCTTGTTAGGTGGAATTAGATCAAAATGATCCCAAACCATGGATTGATTTTTTCTACTTGTAGAAAAAAGAACTCGTCGAAAATGAAACAAATGCAAAAAGTCGGCAAAATCACCGCTAACGTCACACAACACTCCTCACTACCAACATTTTTAAGAAATATTGGTGCATCTTTTATACTGTAGCAGTTTAGCGCTCGTCAAACCACAGAAGTGCACCGAACACTCTGAACCAATCACAGAGCGGAACATTCGCCGAGCCAATGAAACGCTTCGATGCGCAGGGTTAGAGCGAAGCGCAGTCGGGGGAGGGACCCACACTTCCACACTTCGGTCACGTGAGCGGCTGCTGTGAGACGAGCTCCGAGGCAGAGCTTCAGAAAGAACGAGACGAGCTCCAGAGCTCCGACTCATTTGCCCGTCACTAATTATTGATTATTTTAGTAGTTTATTTTATCATTTTATTATTCTGTATTTGTGCAGAACTTTGGAAACTGTTTGTGAAAAGTGCGATATAAATGAAGTGGACTGGATTGGAACACAGAATGTTTGTGTTCGTCTACATCCGTCTCGACGCTTTGTCGCGCTTCACAGCTCACAGTGGATTGGTAAAATGTGCCGTCTACAACTTTTGGGCTTCTCTAAATCGTCGAGTGTTTTTTGATTCCTGACTTAGAGCTGGAGAGAAATGAGACTGAGCAGAGGCACTAGGGGGCGACAGACTGGATAAGTGAAACCCTCATCATGGGCCTGAATGATTCTGTTAATATTGATCCCACACTCAGAGCAGACGAACAGGCCGAGATACAAACACAAGCTGTAAACGTGTGTGTGTTTGTGTGGGTGTAGAGCGCCCCCTGCAGGCAGATACAAGGCACCAGCATCTGAACACAACTGAAGAAACACCTGAGAAACGTCTTAGAGCAAAGAAACTTTTGACCAGTCGACAAATTCAATTTTCTCACCCGTCTCACCCGTCTCACCCGTCTCACCCGTCTCACCCGTCTCACCCGTCTCCGCTCGGGTTAAAGTCGAGTGATTCTCATGTGCTGATGCGACGGGAGCTCAGCCAATAGGATTGTGTTTGTGGGCGGAGTCTGGCACCTGATTGGAGGGTAAAGGCTTCTGTGGGCGGGTCTTAGAGAGAGAACAGTCACTTTAGCTCACGGAAAGTTCCAGGTCTGAGGTCTGTGTCGGGTGCCCCTCCCCCCGTGCGTCGGGTGTGGTGTTTCTGTGAGCTAAAGTCCGTCTCTCGGGCAGACTGCAGTAAAGGCTTCTGTTTGAAGGATTCTGTGGTGAGGAGAAAAATCTGCTAAAAAAAACCAAAACATCAACTCGAGCTGAAATCAATTAGACCCAGAATCTGGATTTGGAGTTCTTATAAACTGAAAACGCGGCCGACCCATTTGTCTGTTTTCATTTTAAAACTCCTCTGTCACAAACTGACTCTTTAATCCACGTTCTAGTGTTTTAGTGTTTCTAATGTTCTAATGTTCTAATGTTCTAATGTTCTAATGTTCTACTGTTCCTCGTCACACAGAGCTGCAGTCGCGTTTGTTTCATTCACATGTTTGAGTAAAACTTTATTATTCGTCTGTCTCCATTGTGCCTCCAGCTCGAGCTAAAAGTGCAGGTTTGTGTGTGAAACATGTGAATGAAACAAAAAAAAATACGGGTCCAGGTCTGAGTGTGACCAGGAAACCACATCAGAACATCAGAACATCAGAACATCAGAACATCAGAAATCAGAACGTGAGAACGTGAGAACGTCAGAGGATCATTTCCGTTAAAGTCCAGACTCTGAGCGCCTCCAGCTCGTGTGATCGTCGTTTCAAGAGTTTGAGTTTCAGAAGAATTTATCATCGATGCGAAAGTGCGGCCGGGTGACGTCGTCGGGGTTGATGAACACGGAGATGGATTTCCCGGGGTTTTCGGTGACGAGCTGCTGCAGCTTTTTGGCCAGTCGGTCGTCGGGCTGAGAGTCGCCGCCGGCGTCGGACTGCGGCGAGGGGAGGGAGGCGGAGCTCCCGCGCCACTGCAGCTCCAGCGTCAGCCTGTAGGCGGCCCTGGCGTGCTCGATGGCGGCGGCGTGCTCGATGGCGGTGCGCAGGTGCTCGGCGGGGTCGGAGCGCACGGAGCAGAGGCGGCGGGCGTGGAGCAGCGCCGCCTCGTCCGACAGGTGCTCGAACATGTTACACTGAGGGATGAAGTAGTTCGGACACGTCTTGTTGACCAGGCAGTGCTGCAGGTCGTCGATCAGCCCCAAGAGGAAGTGGGCGGAGCTATCGTCCTGGCACAGGTAGGAGGCGGGCAGGCGGTCGCACGCCCACAGCATGGCGCTGCGCAGGTGGTACGGGCTCACGGCTTTAGGGCGGGACAGCAGTTTGATGATGAGGGCCTTGCAGGCCTGGTACGCCTGCATGAGCGACGGCGAGATGCACTTCTTCAGCTGCACCTCGCTGCGGGCGAACGACAGGCGCCACTCGTTCTCTTTGCGCCCTTTGTGCGAGCAGGCGGGCACCAGGTAGAACCCGCTGATCACCTCCTCCTCCGTGATCTTCCCGTCCCAGAAGTGGTTCTCCATGAGCCAGGACTGCGCCACGGCGGGCCAGCCTTTGAAGGACACCACGGGCACGATGTCGTAGAGCATCCGGCTGCTGCCCACGCCCAGGATCACCGAGATCAGGGTCCCGCTGCGCTCCACCCGCTCCACCCGGGGCACCCCCCTCTGAGGCTTCTTCTGCACCTCCGACAGCACGCCCGCGATGGCGCCGTGGAACCAGGACGACACCAGCGTGGGGGAGAAGAAGAAGTTGGTGGCTCCGCTGATGTGGTCCACCACGGTGCAGCAGTCCTTCCACTTGGAGATGGTTCCTTCGTCGAAGAGCCGCAGCGAGAGCCACGAGTGCCCCAGGGCCGAGTGGCGCATGTCCAGGGTCACGGGCTGGTTCCGGTCGTGCAGTTTGAGGGCGGGCACCAGCAGAGTGAAGTCCATGTCGTAGTCTGTGCCCCGGGCGTAAACCGTGAGGTCGTCGAGGTCCAGGTCCACGACGCCCTCGCGCACCCCCCCCGACAACAGCAGGTACTCGTTTCGCAACGGGCAACTTCTGATCCAACTTCTGCACCATCCCTGGAGACACAGACAGAGGACACGGATCAGACTCAGACAAACTTAAAGCTGCACTGTGTAACTTTTCTATCACCTGTTCGTTTCTATGGCGACGTCACAGTTCTGCCTGAAATGTTCCACAGTGTGACATTAAACGACTTTACATTTATTTGGTTTAAGAGTTCATTAATCCCTATGATCACCTCTCCACAGATCTGACCTGGAACTGTCTGATTGTGTCTCCATGAAGATAGAAAGGTTTAATGCCCTACTGTGGAACATTCCAGACAAATCGATCAGGTCTAAACAAGAGGGGCTGGTTGTGCACACGTCTGACACACAGAGACAGGAGGACGGGAGGGCATCTGACACACAGAGACAGGAGGACGGGAGGGCATCTGACACACAGAGACAGGAGGAGGGCAGGACACAGCAGCTCCTCCCTCTGCTCAAACACACTGAACCAGGAAACACTCTGCATTTGCTCAAAGGCACCTCAGCGGAGTCAAACCCTCAACACACAAACTACAGGTCAGTGCTACTACTACTACTACTACTAACTACTACTACTACTACTACTACTACTACTACATCTCCTCCTCCTGGTTCTTGTACTTTTACTGTAGTACTTCTTTAATGGGACTAAAGTTCAGTCAGATTCTGCTGTAGATTCTGTTGTTGATTTGGTTCAGTTCAACTTTAGTTCTTCTTCACTTTTTTACTCAGAAGTTGTTTGTATAAGTTTGTTTTTGTGGAAGATGAATGTAATATTATTGAAGTGAGTGACTGTAAACTCCACAGTCTGACTCTGATTCAAGAAAAGCTGCTCACTCTGTAGTTCAGACTCAGATCTCACCTGATCCTCTCACACCTTTATGCTCCTTTGAAACATGAACTTTGAACATGAACATGAATAACACGACTATAAAAACATAAACCACAATCTCATGTCAGTGTCACAAAGATCACCATTTCACAGATACTTTTACTCCTACTCCAGTAATATTTGTAGTGAAGTAGCAGTACTGTTAGTGGAGTAAAAGTTGTGTTTCCTCTTCCCACTGTGAGTGAGTCTAAAGTGACAAAAGCTTCTGTGACTGAAATCTGAAATGATTTGAACATTTGTTTCTTGCGGCTCCTTCACGTCTCATTTAGTTTGTCTCATTTTTGTGTTGCTTTGAAAACTCCACATTTGGATTATTTCATGTTTTGTTCTTCACGTTACATTCACTTCAGTCAAAGCACGTTTCCTTTTGCTTGTGTTTATTGCAGTGAAAAACAAGCCTTGTTTCTTTGAGCTCGCATCTCCACAGACCTGACTCTTATCACCCAGATACCACCTGATCACAAGAGTCACAACTTCAACAACAAGTGACTCTGAACAAATCAAATGTGACCTTTTCTCAACACTTGTGCTTAGAAAAGTGACGGCGATGTCATCTTCAGGACACTGTGGTGTTTTTGAGCTCAAATGACGTTCTGTTGTTTTTATTGTCGTCATGGTGACGTTGAGTCTCAGCCTTTTCCTTAAACCGTGTTCGATATCAGTCACAAACAGTCTATGGTCACAACACAAACTTATTCTTCTAGTCCAGTCTTCCTCACCACATCCTCCTGAAGCCTTCCAAAATAAAAGCTCTTCACCTCTTTCCTGTCACAATAAGAGTCTTCACTTTAGTCTGAGTCACTATTGTTGCTCTGTTTCAGACATGTCCTCCACCAGAGACCAGAGCTCTGAGGAGATGTTCCTGTGCTCCATCTGTCTGGAGGTGTTCTCTGAGCCAGTGTCCACTCCATGTGGACACAACTTCTGCCGACGCTGCATCTCTCAGGCCTGGGACACTGATGGACCCTGCACATGTCCTGTGTGTAAAGAGATGTTCCACAGAAGACCACAGCTCAAGGTCAACACGCTCCTGAAGGAGGTGGTCTCAGCGTCTAAGCTGGAGAAGAAGAAGAGCAGATCTATGGAGAACATGCCCGACTTTAAAGAGGTGCAGTGTGACGTGTGCTCTGAGCCCAAGCTGAAGGCCCTCAAGTCCTGCCTGGTGTGTCTGTCCTCCTTCTGTGAGAGCCACCTCCAGCCTCATCTCACAGTCTCTGGGCTGAAAAGACACCAGCTGATGGAGCCTGTGGAAAACCTGGAAGACAGGATGTGTCCCACACACCAGCGCCCCCTGGAGCTCTTCTGTGACACTGACCAGAGCTGCGTCTGTACCGTGTGTGTCCCTCTAAAGCACAAGAACCATGAGCTGTTGTCTCTGGAGGAGGCGTGTGAGCGCAGGAGGTCCTCTCTGCTGCAGACTCAGGCTCAGAGCCAGCACATGGTGGAGCAGAGGAGGCAGAGATCCTGGAGATCCAGAGGCTCCTGGAGCTGAGTGAGACAGAGGCCGTCAGAGAGAGGTCTGCGGGGCTGCAGGTCTTCACTGCTCTCATGCAGTCTGTTCAGAGGAGTATGGACCTCTTCTTAGAGGAGCTCCAGGAGAAGCAGAGCCGGAGCCACAGACGAGCCCAGGATCTGCTGCAGCGGCTGAAGCAGGAGATCTGTGATCTGGAGCAGAGCAGCGCTGAGGCCCAACGTCTCTCACGCTCTGAAGACCCCCTCCACTTTCTACAGCGCTGCCCTGCACTCACGCCCCCTGCTGGGCTTAAGGAGTGGAGCAGCGTGAACTTTGAGCCGGAGACGTGTGAGGGCAGTGTGTCCCGGGCTCTGTCTGAGCTGAAGAACAGTCTCCCTCAGGAGTTTAACAAACACTTTAAAGAACTGGCCTCAGAGTCTAAGAAAGCTGAGCTGAGGAGAGCGCAGCAGAGTGCGGTGGAGGTGACTCTGGACCCAGACACCAATCATCCTGCTCTCGCTCTGTCTGAAGATCTCAAACAGGTTCATCACACTGATGTGTGGAAGAAACTCCCAGATTCTCCTCTGAGGTTTGATCGTGGCTGTTTGTGTTTTAGGAAAACAGAGTTTTTCTTCAGGCAGGTTTTACTTTGAGGTTCAGGTCAAAGGGAAAACAAAGTGGGATTTAGGAGTGGCCCAAGAATCCATCAACAGGAAGGAATCATCACTTTAAGTCCTGAACATGGACTGTGGTGCATCATCTTAAGAAACAAAGATGAGTACAAAGCTTGTACTGATCCTTCCTGTCCGTCTGTTTCCTCAGAGAGCTCCTCAGAAGGTCGGGGTGTTTGTGGACTATGGGGAGGGTCTGGTTTCCTTTTATGACACAGATTCTGCAGATCTCCTCTTCTCCTTCACTCGCTGCTGCTTCAGGGAGAAACTGTTTCCATTTTTCAGTCCTGGTTTAAATTCAGGAGGTTCAAACTCTGCTCCTCTGGTCGTCACTGCAGTGGAGACTTTGAGTCGTGACAAAGTACAAAAGTAAAAGTAGTGAACTTAAAGACGGGGATGTGACTTCTCTGGACTATTAACTGTAACACAACAGATTTAGATCAACATGTTCCTTTTGTTGTTTTGTCCTCCCTCCTTTTGCTCCTCGTGCTAAGTCACTCCCCCTTCAGAGCCACATCACAACAACAACAGAGTCACATGACCACTCTGTCATTTATGTTTTAAGGAGTTTTTTGTAGAACGTCCCGTTAATGTTTTTCTATGTAAATGTGTGTTTCATAAATTTGTTCCATCACCAAATCTTCAACAACAAACTCCACAAAGGAGAAACATTCTTCATCAACAATTTATCCACAAATATCAAGAGAAGAAAGAACAAAACTTAAAGAAACAACGAGACTCATGATTCGCCGTTCAGACTTTAGAATCTGTGTGTCGTTCGTTCATTTGTTTTTCAATATAAAACCAAAAATAAGAAAATGAAAAAACAAGTTTTCTTCATTATTTGTCTCCAAAACCAAAATGAAAAAAACAGAAAATGATTCATTTTTTCAGTTTTTGATTTTGTGTTTAAATGAAAAATGGAAAAAAACAGATAACGACCGTTTCCCGTTTACCGGAACCAGAGCGGGACTGAGTCTGGGACCAGACCAGAACCAGACCCAGACTGAGACCTGAGCGGGACTGAGACCAAGACCAGACCAGAACTGAGACCAGGACTGAGACCAGACCGGGACCAAAGCAGGACTGAGACTGAGACCAGACCAGGACCAGAGCGGGACCAGAGCGGGACTGAGTCTGGGACCAGACCCAGATTGAGACCCGAGTGGGACTGAGACCAAGACCAGACCAGAACTGAGACTGGATCTGAGACTGGGACCAGACTGAGACTGAGACCAGGCTCGGACCCCGCAGAGGCTCGGAGTCAAAGCTCGGAGTCCACTCTGGTTCTGCTGTGGTCCCGGTCTGGTCCTCGGTCTCAGTCCCAGTCTGGTCCTGGTCTGGTCTCGGTCTCAGTCCCAGTCTGGTCCCGGTCTGAGTCCCAGTCTCAGTCCCAGTCTGGTCCTGGTCCTGGATCAGTCCTGGTTCAGTCCGACATCTCAGTCACTGAAGTCACGTAAACAGGAAACGGTCGTTATCTGTTTTGTTTTTTTTCCATTTTTCATTGAAACACAAAATCGAAAACTGAAAAAACGAATCATTTTCTGTTTTTTCATTTTGGTTTTAGAGACAAATAATGAAGAAAAACAAATGAACGAGTTACACACGGATTCACCAAACTCACAACCCAAAACCACGACATGTGTTGACGTCACATGACTCTGATCTGATCTTCGTTCATCACCTCCACGTGTCACAAACCTTCTTCTCCTCACGTGAAAACTGCGTCTGAAATCTTTCTACAAAACTTCACCACCAAAAACCTCCTCCTCCTCCTCCTGAAAACAAATCATCTGTTCATGTTCTGGCAGCAGATTTAAAACCTGCAGCTGCTCGATGCTTCGTCCACGTTTAGGAGACGTTTAAAGTTCACACACACAAGTCACATTTAACTGGAAATGTGAACGAGTCACAAAAAAACAGAATAGAGCTTTAACCTTCAGACTGAACGGAGACTTTTACTTTACTGAACTAAACTCACGTTATGATCATGAATAAAACAGAAGGAACTTGTTCACTCAGACTCATTCTACTTTTGAAATTAACAACAGATTTGATGATGTGGAGATTTGCACAGACACAGATTGGTGAGAGTGGTGGTTTAATGTGAGAGTCTCTAGGACCATAAATCTGGTTTTAGTTCAGTCGTTCACTAAAGCCTCGTCCTCCTCGTTTTTTCTTCTTCTTTAAATCCTGACGTCAGCTCCAAAACAAAACATGACTTCATGGTTTTATTAATAATTCATCGTCCACATGACCTGACAGAGAGACAGGAGCGCTCCTGACAGAGAGACAGGAGCGCTCCTGACGCAGAGACAGGAGCGCTCCTGACAGAGAGACAGGAGCGCTCCTGACAGAGAGAGACAGGAGCGCTCCTGACAGAGAGACAGGGGCGCTCCTGACAGAGAGACAGGGCGCTCCTGACAGAGAGACAGGAGCGCTCCTGACGCAGAGACAGGAGCGCTCCTGAGAGAGACAGGAGCGCTCCTGTCTCTGCGTCAGGAGCGCTCCTGACAGAGAGACAGGCAGCGCTCCTGACGACAGAGAGACAGGAGCGCTCCTAAACCAGGACGCAGAGACAGGAGCGCTCCTAAACCAGGACGACTAAACCAGAGACGGAGCAGGACTGAGCCAGAACAGACTCAATACTCGATACCAGGATGATCCCATCATGAAAAAATAAAACCGTCTTCTGACTTTGTTTAAACCAGGATCTAAACCAGGCTCTGATTTTACTAAACGATTTAAACCAGGACTAAAACTAAACCAGAACTTTACTTTAAACCAGGACTAAACCAGGTTAAACCACTACTAAACCAGGTCTAAACCAGGTCTTTACTAAACCAGGACTAAACCAGGACTAAAACCAGGACTAAACCAGGACTAAACCAGGACTAAACCAGGACTAAACCAGGACTAAACCAGGACTAAACCAGGTCTAAACCAGGACTAAACCAGGACTAAACCAGGACTAAACCAGGACTAAAGCAGGACTAAACCGTCCTGGATACACTGCGGTGTTTTTTTGGGTTAATAAAATCAGGTCCTGTCTAAATGAACGAAGATTCACCAAAATCTGCACCAGTGTTTTAGTCCAAACCAAGACCAAGACCAGTTCGAGACCACGGGGTCCCGAGACCGAGATAAGACCGAGACCTCCGAGGACCAAGACCGAGACAAGACCGAGACCTTTGAGGACTGAGACCAGGACAAAACCAAGACCTCCGAGGGTCAAGACCGAGACAAGACCGAGATGTTCAGGACTGAACCAGGACTAAACCAGGACTGAACCAAGACTAAACCAGGACTAAACCAGGTCTAAATTGAGCGGAGTCCGGGTCAAACTCTGAGCTCTTTTTAATATTGAAAAGTGAAATCCGAGTCGGGGCCTGAGCCTCCCGTGTGTTTCAATCTCAGATTATCTCAGGGATTAAACCACCGGACGCTCTGGGATTTAAAGTCACACTGTGGAACTTTCTGGACGAGGCACCTGAGCGAGAAACAAAGTCCTGCGGGTCACACGGGGTTTGTCCAGGCGCCGGGTTCAGGTTTCAGTCGTGGTTTTGTGTTTTTACGGACAGTTGACGTGTGGGACATGGGGGACGTGGGCTTGTGGGCGGAGCCTCGTACAGCAGGGTCCAGGAGAGATCTCTAGATGACTCAAACCTAGAGACCCGACCAGAGCTGGACACATTAGAGTCGGTGGAGAGGACGACCCATAATGCACCGTGTTTATTGTCGTATATTGGACTTAATCACATGATCAAAATTTAATTAGTGAAGTTTCAGAAGTGATTGTTTCATTTTTGTATAATTTTATTGTTTTTAATGTTTTTTTTTATTGTGTGTCTTAATTGTTGTTTGCACAGTGACCCTGAGTGCCCAGAAAGGCTCCTTTAAATAAAATGCTTTTTTTTTTTTTTTTTTCTGCACTTTTTTTTTTTTTTTTAAATCAAATATGGCTTTTTTTTTTTGTATGTGTATGTTTTTTTTTTTTTTTTGAAAGTATAATCAAAAAATTCATAAAGTAATTATTATTTAATTATTATTAATGATTAATTATTAAAATACTGACTTTATTCTCGAAAAATTACAACTTTATCCTGGTAAAATTATGACTTTGTTCTAAAAAAATGTCGTCTTGATTCTGGTAAAAATTATGACTTTATTTTCATAAATTTACCACTTTATTTTTGTAAAATTACGACTTTTTTTTTCGTCCCGGAAAATTATAACTTTATTCTGGTAAAATCACGACTTTATTCTTGTAAAAATTAAAATTTTATTCTTGTAAAATTATGACTTTATTCCTATAAAAATTTAAATTTTATTCTTGTAAAATTACGACTTCACATCGAAATGTTACAACTTTATTCTGGTAAAATCGTGACTTTATTCTTGTAAAAATTGAAATTTTATTCTGGTAAAATTATGACTTTAATGTTGAAATGTTACGATTTTATTCTCATACTGCCAACATCATTTATTGTTTTTATCTGAGTTGTCGTACAAATAAACCAATAAAACATGAAGACAAATCAATCACCAAATAATGGAAAAATAAATAAAAATAAAAAACATAAAATTAAACACATTTCAGTTTTTATTTCTGCCCGACCAAAATGTTCCTCAAAACTTCAGACGAGTTTGTGAAGAGGAACAACGAGCGTCGACATGAGAGAAAAAAGAGAAACACCTCGTCTTTAACCAGGACTTAAAGCTGCACTGTGTAACTTTTCAGGACTTTTGTGGATCGGTCACGTCACTGCTCCGTCCGGAATGTTCCGCAGTGTGACTTTAAACAGCTCCACTTTACATTTACTCAGTCACAGGAGGATTCAGAGTCAAAAACACAGAGAAAAACAGCGGCGCCTCTCCACAGATCTGACCCAGAACTGCGCCTGGTTTGGTCTCCGTGGAGATAGAGAGGTTTAATGCCGCACTGTGGAACATTCCAGACCAAGAAATAATCATCATTTCCATGGAGAAAAGCGTCTGAAGGAGCCAAAACCAAGAAAAGTTACAGTTACACAAAACGGCTTTAACCAGGACTAAACGAGAACTAGACCAGGACTAGACCAGGACTAAACCAGGACTAAACCAGGACTAAACCAGGACTAAACCAGGACTACACCAGGACTAAACGAGAACTAAACCAGGACTAAACCAGGACTAAACGAGA